AATATATAATGCCTGCATCTGTAACTTTCACTCTATGCATCTGAAGAAGTGAGGTTTTTACCCACGAAAGCTTATGCCCAAATAAATCTGTTAGTCTTTAAGGTGCCACCAGACTCCTTGTTGTTTTTGTGGATACAGACTAACATGGCTACCCCCTGATAATTAAAAGGCAGATACTGGTGGCAGGATTAATATTTCCCCATAGCTAGACTCCTGTGATTTATGTTCATAGCTATTAAAAGTAAAAGAAAGCAAGGTTTCAAAACTGTGTTTGTATTCTCGCTAACCAAGCTGTTTTCTGTTTGGTTTGGGATTTTTTTGCTCCTTTATCCTTTACCGGACAGACAAACTTGCTAATTGTTTCCCCCATAATTTACATAAAATTAGATGCACATTTTTGAAAACCTTCTTCCAGTGTTTGGTTCAATTAAAATTTTAGCATCGTGTTATATTTTTTCCAGGACTGGGGAAGGTACATAACTGATTCCACTATGCCTAATCCTTTTCAGCCGTAAAATTGGAGTGTTGAGGTGAAGTAAAGTAAGCGTTTACCTGTGAAGTAGTTTGTTACCTGCTCAGCTGCATGCCCCTGTCTGTACTGTACCTGTTCCACAGAGAAGTGAAGACCTTGGATCCATGGGATTGTCACTTAGCTACTTTAAGAGTAAAAAAAAAAATCACTCATGTTTAATAAATGGATGGTTCTTATCTATAACTCTAGACACATTTTTCTTTCATGCTGCCTCCATTGTCTGTGAGTCAGAGTGAGAGAGGGAGGACAAAACTCATGAACAGCGTTTGCTCAGAAGTTGGAAGCAGAAGCACTTCAAACGTATAGGATGTGGAAGGAAACAATGAACCTACCATTCAAACACCCTCTTATTTACATAAGGAGTATTTTTGAAACCTATCATATACAATTCAACACCACCAAGGGCAAAAAGACCTCTCTAGAGACTTCTTCATTTTCTCCTTAATTCAAGAATCACTTACATATGTGCTTAAGTCACTCCCTAGTCAGGAAAGCATGCACTTAAAAATCCCTTGGAAATCAATGGGACCTAAACACTTACTTATTTTCTTGAACAAGGAACTTTGGTTTTTGGATTCCACAGGAGCAAAGTTGTAAATCACTGAAAAAATGGGGCATGTGAAAACTGCATTTGAGGGCTAAGTATGATTCCAACATAACTAGGTGTTGCGTAAACCTTCTAAGATGTGCTGAGAACCTTTCAGGAAGTCAATGGAAATATTCTTCTTAGGTACTCTTAGCAGGATTAGGCCCTACATTAAAAAAAAAGGAGCAAGTTAATCTGTCAGATATAATAAAATGGCAACAGATCTCTCCGTTAATGTTCAGGTGCAGAGGCGGGCATTCCTCAATCACATGCAGCAGCACTATAACCTGGTGCAACAAAGAAGACATGTGACAGTAAAAAGAAAAAAACGATCCCTCCTCCTAGCCAGCACAACTGCTCATAGCTTGAAGCAAGTCAGCATTTCACACCATCCAACCACTTTGACATGACAGGTATGGTATTTTCATACCTGCAGAATTGCCAAGGAAATCCTCCCTAGCAAAAGTGCAAAAGTTTTGAGTATGGGGGAAGGGGCAGCAACTGGCTTTTAGGCAAACGTTGAAATGAACAAGTCTGAAATAAAATGTAAAGCAATTATTGTTAAAAAAAGATCACACTGACATTTAAAAGCTGGACTGATAGTATCTGTCCCCTCCAAGGCTGACATAACTGAACTAGATTTGATCCCCAAATGTTTTTCTGGAAGGTGATGGGGCGGAATCCTGCTTTAAACTTTAGTTGTTGATTCAGAGAAATAATTGCCACCCTGGAAAGGTAATTACATATGCCATTGTTTATACACATAATAGGCCTGGAAAGCATGTTCTGCTGCTAGAAAAAAAAGAAAATCCTGCTTTCACAGTAGAGCGGTACACTATGTATAGTGACAGAATGCTACAAATAGCATTCAAACCCTCACATGTTAACGGTTGTGGGGTTTTTTCCCCCTTGGTGTGTGTATGAGTTTTGGGATGGGGGAAGGGATGAAGAGCGAGGAAGGGAGGTGGAGCAAAGAAGACAATTTTGTACAATAGTAACCACAGCTTTTACTCTCCGGATTTCTGTTAAATGAACATTTACTGCTGTAAAGGGGCTTACTGGTACTTCTTTGCTTTGCCATATGATTATCAATTACTCCGGAACTTTGATCACCTGTAGAACTATATCAGATATATTAGTAAATGAAATATATTAATATTGGCTCTTCTAAATTGGTCTTGATTTGATCTGCTCTGAAAGGAGACCAAACTACCGGACAAAATATAGGATAGCACTTCGCATCCCACTGTGCTTTCAATGCAACATATAAAGTGAATTTAGGTCACAAAACTACAGCTAAAAATCTCTTTATTTTCCCCCCCTTCAGTATTATAATAAATGACAAACGAATAAAGCAAACACTGTACTGTAATATTCTTATCAGACAATGTGGGTTTTTTAATTCCAATGGTTTTTCCAAAATATTGCAAGTATAAGGACTGAACAAAGAAAAAATACATATGTATTCCAACACTGAACTGAGCATTGTTAGATGTTGAAGCAATTCATAGCAGGCTATTCTCTGCTGCAGTGTCCAGCAAATTGCATGACCTGCTTGTTAGGCTTGACAACAGTGTTTTACCTAACAAAGGCCTCAACAGCTCAGAGCAGCAGTGGAATGTCAAAATGAGCACATTTCACACACAGATGTGTGACCGTAATAGCCTATAAGAAGATGCATGTGGCAGAGAGAAGGGGTTGGGGGTTGGGAAGGCTAACAGTTAGCAGTAGGGACATGGCCCTACTGACCACATTTAATCAGCCCTTCTGTAAACAATTCAACATTTTCATTGTTCTCTAAAAACTAATAAAGAGAAACAAGCACTTTTCATTCATCTTGAAGTAATTTTCTGTCAGGTTTGAGCCCCTTGTGGCCTACAGCTTGTGCATTGCTAGCTGTGTGATACAACAACTATTTCAATTTATTTTACAAACTCTGGCCATTCACATGTCAGTTAGTGTTCACCAAACCGGCATCTGAAATTGTGCAGTTAACGAGTTTTACAACATTTCTATCAAGAGAAACTGTTTAGCATAACTGACTCTTAAGGAGTTATTATACCTCTAAAAATCCATTTTAAGGGGCATTATTTAAATAAAATAGAAAAACGGTTCACTGCCTTTTAAAGGGGCTACAAAAAAAGTCCATCAGATCCAGTGCAGTAATCCTCAGCTTAAAGCACTCTTGAGAGCACTTCTGGGAATTATCAGCATAATGAAATGTTTTGTGAAATGTCCAGATAGATTCCTCTACTCAACAATTTTACTGCACCATATTTATTTTCCTCCTAGTTTTTAAAGAAGTGAATTACTTTTTGAGGGGACGACTCTACATTGTGCAGATTAGCTGAACACAGTTATTCTACAACCTTGGTAATAGTGAGGGTTCAGTTTGCAGTGTAATCTATATACATCTGCAGAAAAAAAAAGTCAGCCTTTTATGCTCTACTCAGCTCTAAAAGGGTTAAACCACAATGAGGCTTATGCAGATTTGCATTTCCCTTGTACTGCATTTTTCCCATACTCTTAAACAACTTTGTTATACAATGGCACCTGTGAAATGCTTTATTGAAAACAGCTTTGACTCTCTTCTTAAGTTAATTAAACAAACAAAGGCTATAAAATTGGAATGGTTTAAAAAGGAGATGTTCATGAACCTTTAATATAAAGAAAAATAGATTTTGTATATTAAGCTATGATGGCCAATGACCCAAAACTGCCTAATGGCAAGAGTCCATAATGGTCGTACACTATCACATACCAGTAAGTTAATCTTAGCATATTAAACTACCTAATGGGGCAAAAGCCACATGTGCAAAGTAAATGACTTCATCGTTCTGCCTAAAATGAACACTAGTAAGAGAAAAGTTATGCGGCAGTATAAAGAGATACATGTACACATATATATTGTACAGTGTAACGTTATTGTTATAGATTTTCTTATCAGATATCTATCCCAAGGACCAAATTTTCTTGTAACGTAGTCAGTGTAGTCAGCAGAAAATTTAGCTCCAAATTCTTAGAGTGATATCTTTTCCACATTATTTTAATTCTTAGAGAGAGGGGCAGCTACTAGAGTGCCTGGCACCAGCATCTGTTAACAGGAAGTTCAGCAACATTTATGGACATGACAGTTTGACATCACTGATGGCTTTGGCACCTCCTCAGAATTATGTTATCATACCTGGTCCATTAGTGTATCTAGCATCAATTCTAGCAGTGCTATCACTCAGAGTTTATAAATTGGGGAATAAGAATAAATTGTTTGGGCAGAAAAAAAAAAGACAAGATGGCTTCCAGAGTGACCAATCTAAAAGTGAACTGACACTTCACTACCAACTTTACTTAGGGTTCACAAAATGCTGAGCACAGCAGGATCCAGCACATACTCATTTTAAGCATGTAAATAGCCCATTGAAATTAATGGTTAACTCACATGTTTAAAGTTAAATGTATGCTTAGGTGCTTTACTGGATTGGTGCCAGAGCACTCAGCATCTTACTGGATTAAGCCCTCAAAGAGATAGAAAACACATAACAAATACGTGGGCGAGGGCTTATAAAGGAAAGTATACTGCTGAGATTAACATTAGAATCAATGGAAAAGTCCAATGCATTTAAATAATGTATAGGTGGTCAGGCTACCAGAAGGCATGGAGGGAAAAGATGGTATTGGATTCCTAGAATATTGGATCCCGAGGATATTGAAAGTGGAAGTTTAAAAGAATGCAGTGTATATAGAAAAAGTGTGAAGCCACAGCAGGTAGAATATCAGAAGTGATTGCTCATTTTGTATGTTACTGAACAGAGACAGACAAAAATGATTAAAGCAGCGAAGGAGTGAGCTGAACTTCATCCTTATGATGCTAGCAAGAGACTTGCCAATTTACTAGTTTGCTGTGGGGTCCCCTAAGAGGTGCTGTAGCAGGAAGAATCTGTGGTTGCAAGGAGGTGAGACTGGATTAGGTAAGATTCCTGCTCAGTCAGTCCAAAATGCCTTGCTCAGCTGCCCCCTGCTCTTCTAGCTTTCAGTCCACTTCTTTCTGCTGACAGGTCAGCTCTCTTCTTATTGTCCAGAGGTTACAGGAGGTACAGTGGGAAGCAAAGAGCTATAACTGCAACCAGTTGCAGGGACTTTTTGGTGTGGTCCCCAGAAGAAACATATAAAAGTGGCAGGTAGAACAGCAAGGAGGACCTAGAGTGAGAAGCTCATTGGAATGGGCCCTCTTTTGGCACATGTGGAAGGCTGGAGCTAGGGAGGTAGGCGGACACTCATTCTAGAAAGCAAAGAGGAAGGAAAGCAACAGCATCAAGGTACAAGAAGGGGAGCTAATTTATTTGATTCTGGTACTTCATCCTAGTTATACTCATCTTAAATGTTATAAGAGTTAACTATTGAGCAATAACATTTCATTCTCTCCTGATATCTCTCCAGCCATTCAAGCAAAAAGGAGGGACATTTCTTTTTCCAGGAAGGGACAGATGCTTCTCACCTGCCACATGTTGGAGAAGCCACAATGAAAAATCTTTTCCTTTTGAGGAAGCTCCTAAACAAAGTAGGGACTCCTGGACAGAATCCCTACCATGGAAGGAAGATGAAAATTATCTGCCACTCTTAAATCTTGCCTATTAGCTGATTTATTATGCTGTTGAAAACGGGGAACTTGGCTTTTAGTTGTTTACATTGGTTTGACTTATTGTGCAGCATTTAAAAATTTTTTTGTATGTGTTCTCTAAAATTCAGGTTTGTGTTAGTTAATATCTAAAACTAAATCATTACCATCTGAGAGTCACACTGGAGGATTTTGTTATTTTAATTTTTGTTATATGTATAACTGGGCCTCTGGATTACCGCCTAGTTTATTGGCTTCACTCCAGCCTCCCACCCAAAATCATATCTTATGATATGCTGGGGAAGGAGTGGGTGGCATATTGCTGGCTAAAGGAGCTCTTATGCCACCTGAGAATTCCCCTTTGTTGGATAAATCCTCATCTGCACCTTTAGGGCAGCTTTCTGGCTGTTTTGCACTACTGAGACTGTATAGAAAGAATAATGTTATTGGAAACCTTATCTTAAAATGTAAAAAATTACTATCAATCATAAAAAGAAAATACAAGACAGAAAAAAAGTATTAAAAATGCCTTAACAAGCAGAGACTAAAAGGTATTAGTGCACCACGTGTAGGTAAAAGGGCAGGCATCAAATTATCCACCACACTGATGGTGTAGGTGGATAATTCTGTACTTGAAGCTACCAGTATCTTATTTTAAAACTATATGAAATTATACTGAAAAAGAAGAGAACACAGAAAACTCAGGTCGCACAATAGCAGAATTTTTTTCTTACGGTATGAAAGATCACACAGATTGATTGATTCTTTTTTATTTCATATTCCTATTTATACTTTTTCTTTTCTTGGTGGAATGAATGCAGATCCCCTTGCTACACCAGAGCTACATATCAGAATGACCATATACAAATGCAGATCTGTTTTGGTGTACTACTAATAATTCCAAAAACATCAGCTCGGAGATACGTTTGACCTTTGATATACAACTACTAAAACAAGAGGGGAATAGGGGGGAAAAAAGATGCTCCATAATTTTATTTGTAAACCAACTTTGCTTGCCTTTTCATAACAACATAGCTCAAATATTTGTCATGAAGTCAAAATATCAAGTCACAGATTTGTAGAGATATAGAAAGCTTCCCTGTGTCCATGACGAGTAATTATTTAATAAAGCCAACTTCCGGGACTTTTGCAACTATCTGATTGTTGGAAGTGCAGCCCTCCTCCTTTATTGCCCAATTTAGCTACAAATAAAGCTGTATCAACTATTTTTTTGGTCATTTTTTCCTCACCAAACAATGGACAGGGTGAACCCAAAATGGTTTCTTCTGGGTAGCCAAAGAGGCTAATACTCCATATCTGAATTATTTTTCCTCTATTCACTATCCCAATAATTTCTAAATCTTGCTGTAGGATCAGAATATATGCGCTAATGTTTCAACTTGATTACACTCTCTTCAGAGTAGTGTAGGATACTGTTTGCATCTCACAAGAATTAGATACATCCAGGTGACTGTTTTTGATAGGGTTTCAGCGTGCAGCAGTGAGAGTGAGCTCTTTTTCCACCTTGTAATGTGCGCATCGATTCACCAAGATCTAGGTCAGCTCCCAACCCTGTTTCCCCATTTACTCATAGACAACTTTAATCTTGATTTTGCTGTGGTCCCTCTGCTTTCCCCTTTCCTTTCAGCAGCTCTGATTGCTGCTCTCATTAAATGGAGTATTTTCAGCTCTGATACTACCAGTAGACTGACAAATATAAAGCTAGGCAGCAATTTACACACTATCACCCCATTTACCACTTAATAAAAATACAGCTTTATTTTTTTAATGGAAAGTATAGAAAATTATGTAAAAAACATAACATCAATTACGAACACAACAACCACCACACAAAAACGTCCCTGGCCAGGAAATATCACAGCATTCTTTGGGGAAAAATGCTGTAAACAGCATACTATAGGATACCATATATATCTTAGAGCGAGAGAGAGAGAATAAGAGAGGAGAGAAGGCCATGGAGAGTGCACACTTTTACCCACTGTGACTCTGGGAGCTACTCCCCAGCTGTGTATACTGGAAATCTGGAAGATAAAGATCGACAGTTAATACAAAACACACAACCATACTGGTTTCCAGGAAAGTAAGTGAAATTACTTGGCTGATCATCACACTGCAGGGCTGTCATTTATATCAGCTGGCCCCACAGAACCAGCACACAACTGGTTGTGGAGATTTATTGGCTGGCAGACCCTCGGGCAGCCTACTGGCACTGACACCAGAGCAACACGTGCCCATCTTGCTCATACAAGGGAACACAAGGGAGAGAAATAACTAGTCAGATAGAAAAGCAGATCTGAATGCAGAAGCAACATCCACTGAAGTCATTACAGCTCTGGACAGAGCACAGGCCACAGTGTCAGATTGAAAACAAACAAAACCAAGATTTACAACGCTTGATTTAATAGTCAGCATTCTGTCAGCAAAGTGGTCTGGGCCCTGTCTTAATACATGCCAGGTTTCTGGTAGCAAGTTGCTTGAAGGGATTCGGCCATGTATACCTTGGGTAAACAGAGGCCTCGTCTTTCCTCCGCACTTTGCATGACAGCAGAATTGCAAAGTTGTGGTGTCTCAGGATGTAAGAGCAACCTGTTTGTTTGGGCATAACCATGATGTTAGATATTTTACCAATAATTGATTTATAATAAATTCCCCAGTTTGTTCTCATGACATTGACCAAGTGTGTATCCCATGCATACTATGTATAGAGAAGATCTGTGATACTTGATGGAACAGACTTTTATTACCATAGTGCTATGTGATAAATAGTTTTCTACTTAGCCAGAGAAATTAATTGGTAAATTAATTGGAGTTCTTTACACCATTGTTCTGTTCAATCTGCTGCTTCCCGTGTACATAATTCTCCCAAGTAGGGTGACCAGAGAGCACATGTGAAAAATCGGGACAGTGGGTGGGGGGTAATAGGAGCCTATATAAGAAAAAGACCCCAAAATCAGGACTGTCCCTATAAAATCGGGACATCTGGTCACCCTACTCCCAAGGCCTTTTGATACACAGCTGAAAGAGGGAGCAATTTTAACCCAGAACCTCACCCAGGAGCAAGGACTTTCCTTTACCTTTGAGCCATGGGTGAAGGGGAAAAAACAAAAAAACTAAAACTACTACCTTCTTTGAGATATTCCAGATATGTGGGTACCTGTGCATTATGGCACCTGTACCACAGTTACTGTGTAAGCCTTCTAAAACAGATAACAGCATCAGTAATGTTTGGACCTGAGTGTTAGTTATTGGATGTTGGGAAACATCTCATTGTAGCTCAGATTCAAGACTACCATAATAGTGGCCCATGGCACTATGTTGGATTCCCATGAGAGTCAATAGTTCATTCTACATAAGGGTCTCTTCATCTTCTGGAACTGCACATGTGCCCTGCAATGCTACTGCCCTCTGTGACATTACCCAGGGTACAATCTGGACTGTTGAACAGCTGTGTCCCCTCAATTCTCTGGTCTGGGGGGCCTTTTACATTGCTCTGCTGTGAGAGAAGCCACTTCTGGTCTGCCTACACACTGCCTCCAGCATGTAAGTTACTCCCAGCTATATTGTAGGAGTGCAATGGCCAGCCATGAATTACACTGCAGAGCAACACCAGCAAATTCCCCGTCCCAGCCACACATTTTACCAGGACAACAATGATCAGCAAACTATGAGTTTTCAAATGATACCTTATAAGGCATAGTCTGTACAAAATTTATCATAGTCTTGAAAAAGGAATGAACATGGGGTATAGACTGTCACATCCTCAGCATAATGAAAGGCAGTGAAAGAGAGATCTACAAGAATATATTTAAATCACTTCAGTTCTTAAAATTTAATACAGTCATCCTGCTAAACACCAACAGTCAAAATCCACTGTGGCACATACAACTGCTGGGGATTGTAGCTAGTGAGAAGAAGCTAGAGAAAGCTTTTTGGGTCTGGTGTTGACTATGAAGGCTTGGGGGCTGTAAGCTAAGAAATTGCTTCTTTTGTTCTTGTTTCCTCTTGTATTTGGAGAAGCAGGACTTTGTACATTCCTTGTACAACTGCATCAAAGACAATACCAGACTTCATGAATTTCTACTTTTGACTGGAACATCCTCACAGCCCTGAACTTTGACAGCCACTTGGGTCAAAAACAGGCAACAGGCCTTTTCTTTGTTTTCAGTGGCTTTAGACCAGGTCATTAATCCAGTACCAGTTGAGAAAATGTTGCAGCTTAATTTACTAGTCTGCTAATGATCAAGGGCCCTCTAGAAGGCCAAGGTAGGACTTGAGAGGGAAAGGGAACTTTCTTCAGACAAATGATAACCTAGCTGGATTTAGCAGGATTTCACGTGGTTTTACACTAGATTTGCCAATGGTGAAAAAATTTATTCACATAATTCAGCTGTTGCCTGTGAGATGCACCTAACAATGTGGGAATTGACTTAACACACCAGAACTTGCCAAGAGATCAAAAGAGAAAATCATGGGTTGTATGTCCAAAAAAATAAAAATCCATATTTCACAAAACATTCTGCTCATGCAATTATAGTTGAAAATTCAAAGAAAAAATTGTCCAATGATCTTTTCAGACTTTAGTATCAAAGACTTTGTGACACAGCATAGACTTCCAAGGTGAGTCACCTAAATTCTCTTGATATTATTTTCTAATTGTATATATAATCTATTCACACCATATAAGTTGTGCCATTAATTTATCACGGCACATGATTTTCTGACATGAAGGCAACAACTGCACAAGGAAAGGCTGTCATGGTAATGTAAAGTGTTCTGATTGAAAGCACACCCCAAACAGGAACTTTCTAAAATCTCCTGACTCCTCCCTCTAATATTAAGGCCTTGTGTATATGCAAAAGTTGCAAAGGTTTAACTAAATTGTTTTAAAATCTATAAATGTTAAAATGTGGAAACTCCTAAATCAACTTAATCTTAGAATCATAGAATATCAGGGTTGGAAGGGACCTCAGGAGGTCATCTAGTCCAACCCCCTGCTCAAAGCAGGACCAATTCCCAACTAAATCATCCCAGCCAGGGCTTTGTTAAGCCTGACCTTAAAAACCTCTAAGGAAGGAGATTCCACCACCTCCCTAGGTAACCCAGTCCAGTGCTTCACCACCCTCCTAGTGAAAAAGTTTTTCCTAATATCCAACCTAAACCTTCCCCACTGCAACTTGAGACCATTACTTCTTGTTCTGTCATCAGGTACCACTGAGAACAGTCTAGATCCATCCTCTTTGGAACCCCCTTTCAGGTAGCTGAAAGCAGCTATCAAATCCCCCCTCATTCTTCTCTTCTGGAGACTAAACAATCCCAGTTCCCTCAGCCTCTCCCCATAAGTCATGTGCTCCAGTCTCCTAATCATTTTTGTTGCCCTCCGCTGGATTCTTTCCAATTTTTCCACATCCTTCTTGTAGTGTGGGGCCCCAAACTGGCCACAGTACTCCAGATGAGGCCTCACCAATGTTGAATAGAGGGGAATGATCACGTCCCTCGATCTGCTGGCAATGCCCCTGCTTATTCAGCCCAAAACGCCGTTAGCCTTCTTGGCAACAAGGGCACACTGTTGACTCATATCCAGCTTCTCGTCCACTGTAACCCCTAGGTCCTTTTCTGCAGAACTGCTTCCTAGTCATTCGGTCCCTAGTCTGTAACAGTGCATGGGATTCTTCCGTCCTAAGTGCAGGACTCTACACTTGTCCTTGTTGAACCTCATCAGGTTTCCATTGGCCCAAACCTCTAATTTGTCGAGGTCCCTCTGTATCCTATCCCTACCCTCCAGCATATCTACCACTCCTCCCAGTTTAGTGTCATCTGCAAACTTGCTGAGATTGCAGTCCACGCCATCCTCCAGATCATTAATGAAGCTATTGAACAAAACCGGCCCCAGGACCGACCCCTGGGGCACTCCACTTGAAACTGGCTGCCAACTAGACATGGAGCCGTTGA